GGGGATCAAACCAAATGTCCTGCTCCCACTGCAGGGACCCCCACAGCCACGTCCTGCTCCCACTGCGGGGTGTCCCCACGGCCACGTCCTGCTCCCACTGCAGGGTGTCCCCATGGCCACGTCCTGCTCCCACTGTGGGTTGTCCCCAGGGTCGTGTCCTGCTCCCCCTGTAGAGTATCCCCAGGGCCGTGTCCTGCTCCCACTGTGGGTTGTCCCCAGGGCCGTGTCCTGCTCCCCGCAGTGCCCTCCCGGCGGGTTCCAGGGCAGAAGCGGATGCTGGGACGAGGTGGGGACCGTGGGATGCCGCGAGCAGGACACGGCCCTGCCCCGGCACGGCGGGATGAGCTCATGGCCGGTCCCCTCCCAGCTGCTCCCGGCGCGGCCCCAGCGAGGGCAGGGCCCCACCTCGGCCCCCCCGATCGGGGCAGGGAGAACCGAGCCCCCGGCAGCTTCCCGGCCCCTGCCCAGCCCCGGACCTCGGCAGTGCCATCCCAGCCCTCCTGGCTCCAGGTCCCGTCCCCGGGGCTGTGCCGGCCCCCGGACCCGCAGCATCCATAGGATCTGCAGGATCCGCAGCCAAGCCAGCGGCCCTCGGGGCTGGGCGGGGAGCGGCCGCCAGCTGCGGGGTGGGCTCAGCCCGGGAGTCCCACACCTCCAGCCCGGATCCTGGCTGGCTCCCAGCCTGGCTGAGCCTTCCCTGGCGTCATCCAGCACCCCGGAGCCATGTCCCACATCCCAGCCCCAGCCCAGCCAGGAGCCGGAATCCACACCCCAGCGATCACATCCTGCATCCAGGATTCACATTCCAGCTTCAACACCAGGGATCCACATCCCACATCCCAGTCCCAGGGATCTGGGGCTTCAACACCCAGGATCCACATCCCACATCCCAGCCCCAACCCCAGGGATTTACATCCCACACCCCAGCTTCAACATCTGGGATACACATCCCACATCCCAGTCCCAGTTCCCAGGGTCCATGTCCTGCATCCCACTCCAGCTCCCACCCCGGCCTGGGGTCCTGGGACGGGCTGGGACGCACCGGCCGTGCCGCTGGGAGCGGTGTGGATGTGGAGTTTGCCAAGAGCTCACAAAAATACTCAGTGCTTTATTTCCACCCAAAGCCACGGCGCTGACGGGGCAGCGCGTCACACGCATGCAGGGACACGGAGGGGGCCATGGATGGGCCCATGGATGGGGCCATGGAGGGGGCCATGGATGGGCCCATGGATGGGGCCATGGATGGGCCCGTGGGTGGGGACACCAACGACGCACACAGGGCAGCACCTGGAGCCAGCCTGGCCCCACTCAGCCAGGGCCCCACAGCTCCTGCTGGAGGAGGCTCAGCCCAGCCCCGGGAGCACAGGGATGAGCACCGGGACATCCCAGGGGACTCTTGGTGGGGAAGGGCAGGGAGGGACCCACACCAGTCCTTCCCGGCCGGGTGTGGGGTGAGGGTGTGAGCCCTGACAAGCACAGAGTTCCCCAAAAACACATCAGCTCCAGGTGCCCCTTCCAGCAGTGCTGCCAGGAGGAGCCTGGGGATGCTGCCAGCCCCCAGCTCCCACCCTGCCGTGCCCACGGTGCCCTTGCAGCCAGAGCCCACACACGGGGGACACTGCTGGACCCCAGCAGTTCCCAGCTCCAGCCCCACAGCACAGGGGAATCCACATGGATATCGGAGTGGGGACCTCCAGCACCGGCCCCCCCGGCCTTCCTCCCCAAACTGGGCTGGAACTGGGGCACAGCCCCCTGGGAGCAGCCTGTGCTGCTGGGGGGGTTTCTGGGAAAGGCAGGAAGGAGAGTGTGGATGCTCCCACACCTGCCCCACTCCCTGCAGTCCGTGCACGGGCCGGCACCTCCCCGCTCCCCTCCCGGGAACTCAGGCAGGATGGGCCAGGATCCTGCCCCAGTCTCATGGGAGAGCAGTGCCCAGGGCCAGCCCAAAAGGCCACCAGCCCTTTCTGAGGGCTTGTCCCCGGACCCCCAGCCTGGGGGAGGAACCACGAGACCCCCCAGGCCAAGCAGGGCAGGGCTGGCCCCCCACGCCCCAATGCCAGGAGCAGAATCCTGCTCTGCCCAGAGCATCCTCCAAAGAAACAGGCAGCAGGTCCCTGTCCCTGCTCTGTCCTGCCCTCCCACAGCTGGCAGGGAGCCAGAGCAGGGGGTCCCTGGGAAGAGCCCCCAGCTCCACTGTACGAGGGCTGCAGGCACAGCCAGGGACCACGCACAGACACTCGGGGGGCCCGGGAGGATCCCTGGGGGGCCCAGGATCCCGGGAGGATCCTTGCAGCAGCTCCACAGCAAACCCCCTGCCCTGGCAGGAGAGGGAAGGGGCTCCCTGCCTCCCCCAGGAAGAGCAGCCCCCAGCAGCAGGGCTGGCTAGAAGTGCTTGTCCTCCAGCAGCGAGCTCACCACCAGCTCCTTGTTGCCGAAGTCCCAGAAGGCAGTCATGTGGAAGGCCATGTTGGAGAGGACCACCAGGTACTCCAGGAAGGCGAAGACGGTGTACACTGCAGGAGGGAACACAGCAGGTGAGGGCAACACATGGCTGGATCTGCCCCCAGGGCTGGGGGTCTGGAGGGCACCTCCCTGGGACGGGAGGGCACGGGCTGGGGGGCTCGAGCCCCACGGGAGGAGAAGGGCAGGCAGACACCAGCCCTCCCAGAGGAGCCCCCCTCGGCTGGGATTTGGAAAGTGAGGCATCGCGTTAGGAGGGCACTGGACACCAGGAATAAGTGTGAGGAATTAGGAGGACTAGTGCCATGGTCTAGTTGAAACGGTGGTGATCAGTCACAGGTTGGACTTGATGATCTGAGAGGTCTTTTCCAACCTAATTGATTCTGTGACTGAATTTTTGGACATCAGGACAAATTTCTTTACTGAAAGGGTGATTAAACTTTGGCAGGGGCTGCCCAGGGAGGTTTGGAGTGCCCAGCCCTGGAGGTGTCCCA